CTGGTGGCCTGGAATGGCTGCCAGTTTAGGTGCTGGAGTCATGGCTGATCCACTGGGCATTGGCTCTGAATATCTGGGGCAGGTTATAGTAGCAATTTCTACGGAGGATGGGGGTTATATGGTTATACATGGGCAGGTTATAGTAGCAACTTCTATTGGGCAGGGAGCTGCAGGCGCTCAGCTGAGGACTGTTACCATCTGTGAATATGGTAACGATGATGGCAGAACCTTAAGAGACAGAAGTGGCTACTGTCCTCCACAGCAGGGTTGCACTGTAGCAGCTGCAGTTCAAGATGGTGCAGTGAGTGCAACCGCAAGGGTCCTGGAGTGGGTGGGGCTTTCTCTTGAGTATTGCAACTCTGTGAACTCCAGGCCTGTGAGGATGGTAGGAGTCTCCACAACAAAGACCTGCAGACGTGGTAACGGCTAAAGTTAACCTGTAAGCCCCACTTGCCTAAGGACAGGTACTTCCTGAGGTGCTGGAGGCTGTTGTTCATGTAAGACAACCATCTATATGTTTCCACCTCCCTAAACAAGTTTGGTTGACCCAACTGCACTGGATGTAGGCAGGAAGTACATCAGGATGTATGCTTGCCCCTGAATGGACAAAGATAGGAAGTACGGAACCGTGTGAGTTTGCTTCTATAAGCATCTGGCCAATGCTGCTCATGGCCATTCTCAGGGAATCCCGGGTATGGACTTAGCCAGTGCTCATCTTCCTGGCCAGTAGTCGTTTAAATGAATATTTGAAGAACTGGTCTTTCTCCTTGCAATTCTCAGGTTTAACAATGTCTGCAGCAGTGGTGGGGTGTGATGGTGGGTGCCTCCTGGTTATGTTTTCCTCACATGGAGAAGGCTGTCTTGCATCTGAGTGGATCCTCTATGGATGGTAGCCTGGGAGTGGGGAGGATGAGTGGCTTTGTCTCTCTCTGAAGGTTTTACTCTTGCCTTTCCTTGAGTCACTGTGTATTTTTTGGTTTGGGTTCTTTTAAGCATTAGGCACTTCTAGTTGATCATCTTGCTACAACTGCTTTTTTTTTTTTTTCTTTTGGTTTTTTGAGACCGGGTTTCTCTGTGGCTTTCTTTGGAGGCTGTCGTGGAACTAGCTCTTGTAGACCAGACTGGTCTCGAACTCACAGAGATCCACCTGCCTCTGCCTCCTGAGTGCTGGGATTAAAGGCATGTGCCACCAACGCCCGGCTTGCTACAATTGCTTTTTAAGTATAGATGGTGGTATATACTCTGCATTTGTATATCTTAACTTTTTTTTTTAGGTATTCATTTATTCTAGCAATAGAAACTGCCTGTGTTTGCTTGTCTTCTATGTTGCTGAGTTTATGATGAAGGTGGTTCTTGGTGGTTGGTTGTTTTTTTTAATTAATTAATTAATTTATTTATTTTTCAAGATAGGGTTTCTCTGTGTATCAGCTCTTGCTGCCCTGGAACTCACTCTGTAGACCAGGCTGGCCTCAAATTTGCAGAGATCTGCCTGACTATGCCTCCCAAGTGGTGGGATTAAAGGCATGCACCACCAAGCCTGGCAAAGATGGTTCTTTTCTGAGTATTTGGCTCCATTGCTTGCCCTTGTCCTGTAAGACTGTTCAGGGTAGATTTCCACAGGACTGTTCTCGGATGCCAACCTTCCTCACCTTTAGTAAATCAGACATACATGCTGTGTGTGTCCCTTCTGAGCACACCACCATCCCTTCACTTCCACACCTAGGAAAAACAGGAGCCCATTTGGAAGCAGTGTGCTCAAATTGTTTTAATTTTTACAAGGGTGATGCAAGTGTGGCACCTGTTGTAACTGTACTGGTGGAACTGCCCCCAACTGTGAGGCTACCTTACTCTTCACCTTAGTTGTGGCCCTGCTCTAGAAAACCATTTAGAGTTAAAAAATAGACAGGCGGTGTCGGCACATGCCTTTAATCCCTGCACCTGGGAGGAAGAGGTAGCTGGATCTCTGAGTTCGAGGCCAGCCTGGTCTACAGAATGCATTCCAGGACACAGACTCTAAAGCCACACACAGAAAGCCTGTCAAAGAAAATAGAAATGTATTTCTCACTGGTGCTTGAACAAAATAATAATTGTATGCAGGAAAACAACTAACCCAATTTGTACCATTTTAAGCGGGGTGGATGATGGAAGACAAAAATAAACAAACAAAAAACCAAAACCCAAAAATCAGACAAACCCAAACCAAAACATTAAGAAAGACACCATACTACGTGGTTTTGGGGGAGCAGGTGGCGGACTCACCTCTGGCACGGAGCTCACTTCGTGCACCTGGCCAATGAGCTTGCAGTAGGACTGATAGAGCAGGAGCAGCTGGAAGTGCAGCTTGTACAACCTCTGACAGAGCTCCAGTTGCTAGAGAGGGAGGGTGCATGGGAAGGAACAGCTGTGAAAGCTCATTCTGATAAACTCGGGACAAGTGACACACACACACACACACACACACACACACACACACACACGGGTTCCAATCTGTTTACATTCTAAACAAAACAAACCCAGACCCACAGTAACATCGGTGAGACCGTCACAGTACAGTTCAGCATATCATTTCTCTACAATGGAGTGTGACTAATTACAATCGGCTAGAAAAAGGATGGAGGGAACCACATTTCTGTTGCATTTGCCAACGAAATCCCTATAAATTACAGCTGAGTGGTTGTGTTAATTTTTATAAGCTACAAACTGTTTTTAAACAGCCAAGAATCCTTTTTATTAAAGGGAAAGCTGACAGGCAAAACACTAGTTCTAGGTGTTAAGTTTGTAAGTTGAATTGCTACCTGGGAGACAGCTGTGTAAGTCTGGGCTGCCCCCGAGGGGGCAGCCACTCCTGAAGGCAGAAATACAAGCCCCACAGTGATGAGAAAGCCTGAGTCATCCCACCACCAGTTTTCACAGCATTCTTTGATCAGTGTTCTCTACGTAGTCTATCTTATGTCAACGATGGGCTAGCTTCTGAAGTGTATGGGGCAGCACAGGGTGGGGTGGGGTGAGGTGGGAGGGTGCAAGCCTGGGGGAGTGGGGTGGGGTGGGGTGGGGGTGGGGAAAAGCAAGCCTCCATCAGGCAGGAGTCCATGGCTCAGTAGTCTCCAGGGAAAGAGCTTCACACCTGGAGTAAACCAGACATGCAAACACTCCACTGTTGGGTTTAGAAGATGCTACAGGAAGACTGGGTAACTGGGACTTCATGCTGCCTGAGGAGCTCTACACAGAACTCATCTCAGAATTGAGAGAGATGAGGAAACTTAAAACACTTTCCCCAAACCAGGTGAAGGAGATAAATGACAAGAGTTTTACATTTCCTAGAGTACATTCTGTTGATGTGACAGACATGTCTTTTGATTTTTAAGTTACTAAAATTGATGCACATATATATGTACATTTGTATATGTATATATTTCATGCTAAGACAATGCTGAAAGAAGTTCCCCCTTTCCCCAACTTTCCTCCTCCTAGTAGGAAACCAGTTTTTTTTTTTGGGGGGGGGGTTTGGTTTTTCGAAACAGGGTTTCTCTGTGGCTTTGGAGGCTATCCTGGAACTAGCTCTTGTAGACCAGGCTGGTCTCGAACTCACAGAAATCTGCCTACCTCTGCCTCCCGAATGCTGGGATTAAAGGAGTGTGCCACCACTGCCCAGCCTGGAAACCAGTTTTGTTTAGACTTTTTTTTTTTTTTTTTAAGTACTGGCAAATAGCTTTAGAGTGAAGAGTAAGTTCACTAATTAGCTAAAAATGGGTCTTTGGTTGTTTCAGTAAAATTTCTTATGTTAATTTAAACTTTTTTAAAAAATGGAAATCCTATAAAATCTTGTCTGAAATGCAACTGCCAGAATCTTGCAAATTAATAAAAAAAGTGTTTAAAAATAGTTATCTTCCCAATTTAAGTTGAAACCTAGCCATGAAAACTCTTGACTTTCCTAAATACCAAACGAGGTGTGTTTTTTTTTTTTTTTTTTTTTTTCCCATGGAGAGCATGAGAATTCATAGCGATGGAGGTTTCTGTTTGGGGGAGAAAGCATCCCAGAAAGCTACCAATAGGGCTGCCACATCTTAATCTACCGAAGAAAAGAAAATTAAACAAAAAAGGGGAAACATGCTAAAAGATACAACAGTTAACAGTAAAAATAAGGCTCATTATGGAGTCCATGCCTCAGTGGACAAAGAATATGAAAGAAAGTTAACTTACTGCAAGAGATTCCATTTGCTACGCAGCAAGCATGGCGCAGGAAACAAAGGAAAGGAAAGAAAGTATAGGGTCAGTGTGGCATGCAACAGAAAGCACAGCCCTCTTCCAGGAGCACAGCTGCCACCGTGTTAGCTTTGCTGGCCCAGACCTGGCCAGCAGCTGCCAGTGTTGTACCCGTTCAACATGCACAGCGGTCTGGTTAAAAAACAAGCTTTAGTGGGCAGTGGCACCGAAAAACATGGCTCCTAGTCCTGGGAATCTCTGATTAGTTGATTTGGATTTTCTGAGATCACCTGGGAGACTAGAATTAACCTCTATTTTTTCCTTCTTGAAGATTTGAGTGCACTGTGCCTGCACGTGAACAGCAGGTGCCATGACAAGCTATGAGGGCAGTTGTGCAATCTGAAGGACTGTCCCCTGGTGGCAACTACAGTGTCACTTATTTTCTTCAATTGGATTGCCTTTCAGACTGGGAATATGTATAGATGATTTTTTAAAATGATGTATGTGTGGGTATGTGCACATGAGTGCAGGTGCCCTTGGTGACCATTGACATGGGATCCTCTAAAGAGCTGGAGATACAGCAGCTGTGTGTCACCCAACTTGTGTGCTGGGAACTAAACCCAGGCCTTCTGCAAGAGTGGGGCATGCTGTCAACCACTGATGTCTCTCAACATCTCTCCAGCCCTCAGCTTGAGAACATGTAATAAAATAGGCTGCTAGATACTAAATGGTGTATACTCTCAAATATGCAATGTAAGTATTTCCACTTATTTTCTTTTTTATGATTCACATTTTTTTTTTCCACAGGTAATTGCTAATATTGTAACCAGGTCTTCGGGAGGCACATATCCAGCTACGGTGTGAACAGCCAATCATCACACTTACAAACCAAAAACAAGATCCTTCTAATTATTTTTATCTGCTAAATAATTCCTAAAAACAATCTGAAAACTGGTTATTATAACTTAAGACATTGAAAATTTACAAAATGGGCCATGTATAGCTATCATTTGTTAAATGTCACCAGTGACACTGTAACTACAGAAGCAGGGTGTGGAAATTTTTGGTAGCTGAGAAGGGGTACCACAACTCGGAGAAAATGTTTAAAATTTTAAAATCTGCTTAAACCAGGCCCTGTGGAGCACACCTGAGGTTCCACACTTGGAGGCTAAAGTAAGATGCTGGAGAGTTTGGGGTCAACCTGGACTTATAGTGAGACCCTGTCTCAGCCCCCATCCCAACCCCAGCTTGATTAATTCCAATTATGAGTCCAGATATAAACAAGCACCTACCTCACCCCCTTACTAATCCTTGGCAAGGAAAATTCTTAAAAACAACCCCCCCCAAAAAAAAACACCCAAAAATACTTTTTTGTTTGTTTGTTTTTTCGAGACAGGGTTTCTCTGTGTAGTTTCAGAGCTTATCCTGGCACTTGCTCTGGAGACCAGGCTGGCCTCGAACTCACAGAAATCCGCCTGTCTCTGTCTCCCGAGTGCTGGGATTAAAGGCATATGCCACCAACGCCCGGCCCAAAAATACTTTTGGGCTGTCAATTTAATACAGTGTATTTAAACACATGGTCCAGTGAATAACAAAACTGTCAACTCATCACAGGGGCCTACAGATGCACTTAGACATCCCCCCACCCCACCTGTGATTCCCGATTCCCCCTTTCCCTCAACTGTTGTCAATATCACATGAGAGTAACATGTGAGGTGACTGTAAATTTACTGATTAATTTTTTTTTGTTATGAGTCTCTAAGCTTTGAAAGAGAAGTAAATCCCTTAAAGACTGTGTTGTATATTATCTGGCTAAGGCACTCACTAGTTCCTGGAAAACTTCACGTCTGTAAGTTCCATTCTTAGGTGCTGACACACAGTGTGCTGTGAGATTAGGTACACAGGACCAGTTTATTTTTAAATTTCGGTGTTTTTTTTGTTTTCGCTTTTGTTTTTTTTTTCCAAGACAGGGTTTTTCTCTGTGTAGTCTTGGCTGTCCTGGAATTCACTATGTAGACCAGGCTGGCCTTGAACTCACAGAGATCCATCTGCCCCTGCCTACTGAATGCTGGGATCAAAGGTGTATGCCACCACCACCGCCCAGCTTTTTAATTTTGGATTTCTAAGATTAGGGTTTCAATGTGTAACTCTGGCTGTTCCGCAACTCCCTCTGTAGACCAGGTTAGCCTCAAATTAGAGATTCTTCTGCCTCCTGAGTTCCAGGACAAAAGGTGTGCACCACCACCACCAGGTCACAGGGCCAGTTTTTAAAATTTACATTTAAGAGTGTGTGTGTATACATGCTTGTGGAGGCCAGAGGTGTTGGATCCCCTGGAGCTGGGGTTTTAGGCAGCCACCTGATATAGGTGCTGAGAGCTGAACTGAGCACCACTAAGCCATCTCTCCAGCCCCACAAAGGGCAGCACTGAAGATTACCAGAAATCATCAAATAGGATGTACATCAAATAGTAAGCACAGAAACAGGTCAGTGCTGCTGGTGTGGACTTTAACTTTTGGTGTTGTGAGATGGCATTAGTGCTGGGTAAATGGTATAGTCCTAAATCAAGAATGCTATTGTTTTCATTTACAAAACAAGACCCTAATCCATGGAACTCATCAAGACAGTGAAGTCAGTAAAGGCAAATGAACTTTCTTTGCTAGCTCTGGCTTGATCCTGAGGAATGTCACAGGATTCCTCCCACTCAGCAAGTAGGGCACAACTGTGCTTCTTGGGTGATAGCCAAGTACCCGGTGCTCCTCCTGAGCACTCCTCCTCAGGTGGAATAGTGGCAGCTTCCTTGGCTTTTGTCATCTGGAATTCCTTCACTAGGCCATAGACCCGGGCCTCATTTGCATTTAGGGTTTCAACAAGAGTAGAACTGACTTTCTATGGGGCTGTTTTGTGGAAAATGATAATGCATGCTTTCATTTTGGGCTTGGGTTTTTTTATACCCAGGTTTTAAAACATAACCCCATTAGAAGTCTCTGCACCTTTAATCCCAGGCAGGTGGACCAGCCTGGTCTACAGAGTGAGTTCCCGGACAGCAGCTGGGTTACACAGAGAAATACTGTCAAAAAAAAAAGTCTTTGTAAATGTATCTGTGTTTGTGCTTGGGCAATTTAAGATTCTTTTGACATGGTCGTGGTAATGTCATTGATTTTTGCAGTCCCAAGGATTTTAGAAATAATCCTAAAGCTTGACTTGGAAATGTGTTATCTAAACTGGCTGGGTGGGGTTGGGATGGGGCCTGGGGGAGGAGAAGGACCAAGAATGCTGATTTGAAGAACAAATCCTAAACAACTGAGGAGCAGGAAGTTTGAAATCCGTAGAACAGAATTAGGCATAGTGGCAAATGCCTATAAGCCCATCTCTGTAGGCTGAGACAGGAAGATTGCTGGAAGTTTAAAGTCAGCCTCGGACTTGAGATTTTAGTCCTCCTGCCTCTGGACCCTGGTGTGCCTGGCTTACTATATCATACCCAATGGCTGAAAGTCAGATGTGTGAGTTAGATGGTATAAAGTTTAGATTCTATGTAGAAGGTAACTGATACACAGTTTTTTTATGCCTTAGCATGAGAATGCAATGCCACTCACCTCTTATTCCTCTTACTGCTATTTGGGTTTGGTACAGAGACAGCTACCACTCTTCCTGCACATACTAGGCAATCTCTCTGCCAACAAGCTACATCTTCAGTTAATAGACATTATATTTTGCTTATTGAAAAAAATTGTTTTTGGACTATGTTCATGAATATTTTTCAAAGCTAAAAACCCTCAAAGCTTGTGATATTGGTAACACACTTTCAGGCATTTAGTATTTATAAGAAAACTGTAAATAGTTGGGTGGTGGTGGCACACACCTTTAATCCCAGCACTTGGGAGGCAGAAGCAGGTAGATCTCTGAGTTCGAGGCCAGCCAGGTCTACAGAGTGAGTTCTAGGACAGCCAGGGCTACACAGAGAAACCCCGACTCAAAAAAACCAACACCAAAAGCAAAACAAACTGTAAATAAATGCTAGCAGACACATCTTTAGCCAGTATGGGAGAGGAAACTGCTTTTGAAAAACAGACAGATGGACCATATCTAAAGGCTGAGGTGTAGTGAGTTTCGGTTGACTGACAGTCTGGTTCAACATTTAACTTCTTCAAGGTTGGCCCTCTCATTCCTGTGCACTACAGTGATAAGAAAAATAGCCCACGGGGTGTTTTTACAGAAAGATGAAACACATAAGTGCTGAATGTAAATTACTGTTCTAGAACCCAGAGTCAGAAATACATTTTGAATGTGACTATGTCAACTAAAATAAATTCCCACAGGCTATGCCCCTATGATGTCTTGATTGCTATCTATCTCCCTGACAACATCTGGAGGGCAGATGCAACTCTAAAAGCCAGATAGGAGGCCCTTCACACCTAATGCAGAATGAATAGTTTTATCTCACTCTTCGCCCTGAATTCCTTCATAATAGAAAATGTTGTGATCAGTTGCTGGCATTCTAAATGGGAAAATCTGTTTTACATTGTTTGGTAAAGTTTAGTCAACAGGCAAATTTCCTTTCTTTCAATGAACTTGATGGTCCAGCAAGGAATGATGACTTGTGATTTTCTATTCAGGATTAAGAACAGGCTTATTGGCCGGGCGTTGGTGGCGCACGCCTTTAATCCCAGCACTCGGGAGGCAGAGGCTGGCAGATCTCTGTGAGTTCAAGGCCAGCCTTGTCTCCAGAGCGAGTGCCAGGATAGGCTTCAAAGCTACACAGAGAAACCCTGTCTCGAAAAACCAAAACAACAACAACAACAACAAAAAACCAAACAAACAAACAAAAAGGCTTATTGGGAAGTGATTAGCATGGTTATGCAGCACCTGGCAAAAAGGTTAATTTTATGTCTGTTTTTCCTGAAAGGAGAAAACGGAAGTCCCCCATTCCCATCAACACACAACCATGCATAGTATGGATGCACGCCTTCCTCTATTGGGGTTGTGTGAATGTGGGAGATGGCTCCCTTCACCTCTTCCTCTCCCAAGTTTCATGCTGCTTGTGAGGATCAAGCCCAACACAGAGCCAGGCCACAGGAGAGGCATAGACTTAACAGGCACTCATTACCTTTTCTTCTGAGTCCCCAGGCTGGCAGGTAATCACTCCGTCTCTCGAACCACCTGCAAACGTTGCCTTACAGTTGGCAAGCCACTGTCGTCAGAAAAAGAAAGACAGGGCATGGGTAGATCCACAGATGTCCCAAGAACATTTAAAACATGGCGAATGTCAGAAAAACTTGATCATGCCTCTAACAAGACTAAATACAATTCTGCTGGAATGACTTTAGGAAAGGGTCCAAATTGGAAGGTTAAAGATGAACTGAAACTAAAATACCTTCGTAGGTTCGGTAATGGCTATTTTAAAATACAATTTCTTTTTAAAGTTAAAAAGGTCTCTTTTAGATTTACTTATTTTTATTTTCTCTCTGTGTATGTGTGTTTGCCTGCACATATGTATATGCATGTCTGTGGGCCAGAAGAGGATGTTAGATCCTTTGGGATTAGAGTTACACAGGGTTGTGAGCCATCCATCATGTGGGTGCTGGAAACCAAACCAGTGTTTGAAACTGCTAAGCCATCTCTCTTGCCCTTAAAATATAATTTCATGACCAGATGCGGTGTCTCATGCCTTTAATTCTCTTTGAGTTTGAGACCAGCCTAGTCTGCACAGCAAGCTCGAGGCCAGCCAGGGCTACATGGTGAGATTCTGTCCCTGAAAGCCCTACCCCAAAACATAATTTCAAGAATGTAATATATTGCCTTGGAGAATGTTTTTCACCAGATCATTCCTGATTTGTGTATGAAAATGAATACTCTCTTATGAATAGAAACATTTCATATGGTGGAGATTAGGTGATAGGACC